GTTTCTGGTGTAGTTCGCATATATGCAGAGGAACTCATACTCGTATTATGGCTTACAATTAGTCAAAACAGACAGCTGCAAGTGAAGCAGCGAAAGAATTAATATGGTTAAAGCGTCTATATGAAGAGTTAATGAATTTAAAATATATTTCATTATTTATGGTGCTATTAGATTAGCACAAAATTGATACTCGCGCAAAACGTATTCAAACTCGATATTTATTTGTTAGAGAACTTGTTTTAGAAGGAGTTGTAATATAAAAAAATAGCAAGTGAATTTCATATGAAGACAAAACCATTGCTCGAGCCTAGACATTAAGTTCTTCAAAGCATAGGTCAAACAACAAATTATTCTATGAAGGAAGGTGTTGAAATTTGCATTTTTATAGAAAATTTATTATTGTTTTTGTATAAACCTGACAGTTGAAATAAATAAAATATCAAAGTTGTCATTTTAATTGTATTATGTTTTGAATAGTTCATTTTAAATTAAAAACCTTTAACACATTTGGATATTTAAATCATCAAATTATTTGAAGGCATTAAAATTGTATGAAATCAAAAATAGCTCCAGCTAACATCTAAATTTGTTGTTTGTATTTTACTACACGTGGCGAAACCATTACTTGTTGCATTCATTTTATTGTTATGAACCAATTATTAATAATTAATTAACTGCCAACTGCTGATATAATCTGCGGTTTAAATATCTACTTCCGTTTGTGGTTTTGTATAACAATTACATATTTTTTAATACGTTGTTTCCCTTTCTTAGTAAATAAAAGGGTCACGACCTTTTTGTTTAACGGTAATTTACACGATAGTCTTATATATTTGGCCATTGCCAAATCAGTCCATTAACAGAAATACCAAGTCAATTTTTCAGATGGAATCTTATCTGGGGTTCAACTCTGCTGTCTAAAAATGGATTTGTTCCATAATTTCATCTTATTTTAGTAGTGCTCATTAGTTTACACAATTACATCTGTTTTTAGTACACATAGCATGATGATGTACATTTCCTTCTTCACTTGGTTTTTCGAATCATAAAAATAAATTATTTGTTCAGCATAAAGCTCACATTAAAACTAATATTTGTCAGTTATAAAATACTATACAGGTACCCATTATTAATAATATATTAATACTGCAATAATACTACTATGGTGAATTATACAACCATGAATTTATAGGTATTGTACAGAACACGTAAAAATCTTTCCATAAATTAAATTTTGCTACGATAAATTTTGCGGTAATTTACGCCAAAGCAGTAAATTTTGCTTATGACACTTAACTCACTTTAAATCTTGTTGTCATGATGCTACCTTATCAATTGAGTTGTTGTATTTGGAATTATAAGTACTAAATTTTGTTACATGTAACTAGGAAATTTTTATGAAATATGCTGCTGTGACAGCAACTGTTCTTGAAGATTCTTTTTGGTAAAATCTTGCAAGTATTTGTGATGTCGTTTGTAGATATAAATGAAATTGTTGCTTCAGTAACTGAAGAACTGAACTAACTGAACTAACTGAACTGATAATAATATGTAATTTAAAGCAAATCTTCCTCTTTAAGAAATTGTCCCTTCGACATTTTTGAAGCTGTTCTCTTAAAGGCAAAATTTATTTATTAATGTTAGTATTTACACAAGTGTGTCAAAAAATCGATGCCAAGGGCTTTCCTATTGTTTTGTCAAAATTAAAATTATACAAACATAAAAAAATAAACCTAAAAACTAAATTATTAAACTGAAAAATTGAATATTTGGTTATGATGAAAAATTTAGTAAAGATGCAATTTTAATTCGTTTGTTTTAATATGTTAAAAAATTTAATTATTTTAGAAAATGTTCTGAATGGGTTGCAAAATAAACAGGCAGCGGTTTACTGAAGACCTCCAGACGGTGATCAGCAATGAAAGGAAATGGCGGAAAGATTCGTTGAAGACGGCTTACGGACATCCTACATCTAAAGTGAAGACCAATAAAGAAATTATTCTATATCGGTGATTGGAAAAAACTAGATAGTTGCGTATGGTGGTTTTGGGGAACAGACGAAGACTTACAAATTTGGCTCTATAGAAACGATTAAGATAATGAACAGGAAGTTAGGATGAGATATGATGGGGGTCTATGGGGAAAGATAACAGGCTAACAGACAAATTAACATGCCTCGACCACCGATAAAGATGACCAATGAGGATAGAGCCTCCCAAATAGATCGGTTATTCACACATGTACCGGAAACAACATGGAATAGGTGTAGATCAGAAAAATTTAAAATGGTGATAGAGATGGTGTACCCCCCAAAGTAGTGAAACCGGTAAATAATGTCTGGGTACTAAAGAGGCTGTTGCGAAAGGGTCTATTCTCGGAAATATGGGAAGTTGTTAGGGTTGTTCCTATTGAAAAGCTCAAAAAGAACGACTCACAGCGTCTATCTGTCTTATAGATTGTATTGAAAATTTTACGAAAGAATAATAAATATGAGGCTGGAGGATGAAATAGAGGTATTTGGTGGCCTGTTAGAATGCCAACACGAGTTCAGGAAGATCTTGGAGGTTAAAGAGGAGTTCAATTTGTTGCATGGTGGTTCTTGTTAACGTCAGGAACTCCTTTAAGACAGTTGAAGATCGATGATGGGTGCTCTGGAGGGCAAAGGGATATCAGGACACTTGAGAAATGTGATGACGGATTTTTCGAATGGAAGGGGATATTCAAGTACTCCAAAATAGTGAATGAGTGAATGCCTCCTCAGAGTTCGCTACTTGAACCTACCCTGTCAAATATTATTTATGATGATGTTGTGTTGCAAAAAGTGTTAATGGTTAGAAGAGATGAAGCTTCAGGTTACTCTGGAGAAAAAAAGCGGAAGATATTCTATTGAAAATAGGAGAAGAAATAAAGAGTTTTCCATAGCCGTATGAGGAAAGATTAGATCTGAGCGAGGAAGTAAAATATTTGGGTGTACGAGACACCTCTATGGGCAGATGCCCTTGGTCTGCGGAGTATACAAACCGTTTCTTTTGATGCCGCTTCTGTGCTATCGATTCTGACACCTATTCATATAGGGCAAGGGCAAGGAAATTAATAAGGAAAAGCACAGGGAACAGAATCATTGGCAACAAAAATGGATAGAAGTTAGGAAAGGAAACTGGAACAGAGTTCTAATCATCGATGTTACACTCTGGATAAACAGGAAACATGGAAGAGAAGGGTCACATCTAGAACAAGCTCTCACAGGCCACGTATGCTTTGGGACGTATACTAACAGAATTGAGTCTATTGTGGAGAATCTTACGACCCAGTACATACTCTTTTCGTGTATGGCAGATAGCAAGAGAGACACAATCTAGTTTTGAACCTAGGGCAACGAAAATGTACACTCTGTCTTAACTTTGTAATTTTCTGGAAAACGATATCGGGCCGATACAAAATAACTTCATATTCGGGTCCAAATAGTTAGAATTAGTGTTGTGACAAAAAAAAAACTAGAGCTAGACTTAGGTAACCGTTGAGGTTACAATTATGCTACCTATGATACTGGAATTGCAACATGTATCAATACAGATATCAGCGTATATTGGTATATAATTTTTGTTCGTAAATTAGAAAAAAAACAAGAAATCAATACTTGGGTAGTGGATACTGATCCAAATGCAGATACTGTCTAAATTTGGTGAACATTGAGCATTTTTGAGGGAGAAAAATGTTTTTTTTCACTATTTCAGGATTATTATGTGATCTTAAATTTGGTGTGAACACTTTCTGTTTTTTTGGGGAATAAAAAGTACTGTATAATATAATAAGGAGAAGTAAATGTTTTTAATGTAAATAATGGACGCATATTTTTATCAAATTTGGAAAGTAGTTAAACACTAGCTTCAATAAAATACCCTGTAAGTTTGATTATTATACAGGGTATTTTATCTTGAAAGCCGTTATTCACAGTTTTTTTTTTTTGTTATTTCGTTTAGAAGCTACGCCAACTTTGGTATTTATATCTTTAAAAATATGTTTACTTATAAAGGATATAGTTTGACATGGCCTGGGCACATCAACTTAGAACAGAAAACTGTACTTTTTGATTCATCGTCCAATTTTAGTAGATATCATATTCTTAATCCAGACATTTTAAAAAAATTGTTGAATACCTTTAAAACGAATTACTTTAAATATGGTACCTACATAAAGTTTCATTAGAATCGTTGCACGGGACAATTCTATTCCATTTATTCAGTTAGATAAGTGTGTTACTAAAATTGATACAAATTTGGCGTATTTCTTTTTTAAATAAGAATAATATGGATAATAGAGGTATAAATAGGTAACTGGTAAAAATATCAATTTATATCAATAGATATGTGATACGAATTAAAAGTAATATTCACCAATTATACATTTTTAACTAGATGAATATTAAATGAAATTTCTCTGAATGAGATAGATTCATTTAGAAATCTATATTTTTTTTGAGAAATGAACTAAATTTCTCATTAATACAATGACAGGTCCAGAACAAATTATTTTACATACAAAAGAAGATTAAGTGTCAAACTTACCAACTGAATTGACTTACTAGAAATAAAAATTTACCCTGAGAATGTGCCTTTGTCTATTTCCAATTAAATTCTTTAAACAAAAATACAGTTCTTCATACCTTAACGCTCGTAAAGTGTAAGATAATATTGAAAGGAAGCACATTTTTTATTACTTGGCAAAAGATAATCAGGAGAATTTTTTTTAACTATACGATGACCTGTTTCAATTATGACACAGTACTTATCAAGTAAAAATATGCAGCATTTGGAATGTTAGAATTCTACGCCAAGAACTTGGCATCTATACTTTTAGCTTGATCCCAAATTTCACTGAGTTTATTCAACTCTTTAATCTACAGTAAGTCTCATTTTATTATAATACACCAAATTGTTACGGTTTATCATCCTTCTTTGAGCACACAACTATCGTACTATTTTAATCCGATATTCTACCACAGTTGAAAAATTCGGTCTCCGATGTCCTGAGAATGTATTATAATAATAATTGGACATTGTTTTAAAAATCTAAAAAAATTCTTCATAAGATCTTTCACATTCGGATTAAAAATACTTTTTTCCTACCGTTTTCACTCAGCCTATGATAGAAATATCTAATCAGTGGTACCGTTCACTAACGAGTAATATGTAAGTTCATTTATCGTTATCACATTGATTAATGTAGGCTCGAATCCATAGAAGTGATCATATTGAAGCTCTGTGATTTGGGTAAATTGCGGGCGTGGGCAAAACAGGCCCATGAGGCAGATGAAGTTCGTGCATTGGCAACACAGGAAGTAGATGTCTAATTTGCGTCGGCGATCTTCGAACTGTAAATCTGGAACAAAAAGAAGGCTCGTGTACGGATATGAATCAAATTACCTAAGTAAAATTTACTATAAATTATTATGAAGATATTAAGCTAATTCAAATAGATTATAAAAAAACATTTCCTATCAAAGTCAGACAGTGTTTTTTGGTACCAAAAATCTAGATATGCAGGATATTTAAGATCAGATTCCTAACTGATAATGAACTCACATTTTCGGGAGTTTTAAGAAAGAAGAACAGCTGAAGCTGATGAAATGCCTTTTGACCAAATGTATTTACGGGTTCATTCAGCAATTTTTTTTTATTTGCTTAACGGAAAGATATTGCAATTTTAAGGTTCTCTGCAAAAAATTTGAATTTTATATCGCCTACAAGTCATCCAGCGGGTGTGACGTCACCGCATGGGAAACCGATGTCGCATGTTTTCGTGCGATGTCAGTCATTCGGGTAGTCGGGTTTTAATAGCCTGTTAACTTTCGATTGAGTACGCTAAGAAAATAATGATGTCCCCATTATTCTGTCGTGCAGATCTAAAATCAATAGTCTCTACTTTAATTTGTGTTTTTAATATCTTTTATTTGAAAAATGACTTATTTTGAAAGCAACAAAACTACCCTGCGTAATTTAGGTATGTACTAAATACGTTTGTATCCTCTAGAAACACTATACACTTGTATTTTCCATTGTTGATTTTTTGTGTGAATATTATACAAATACCTATAGGTACTAAGTATTTATATAAAAATACATAATAAATATTATATTATTAATATATTTATAAGATATTAGGTAAATTTTATGTAGTTTCCATGGGAATAAAAATACTAATAAGAATTTTGTATTTGATTAGGTAAATCTTTGAAACCTGTGACAGAAACGGTTTCGTCCAATTAAACGCAAAATCCTTATTCTTATTTACTATTCTTATTGTACAAAAACATCAAAACTTTCGCTACATACGTAATTTAAAGAAGATTTACACGTAACCTTTGCATTTTCACTCCTCTTATCCCAGCACTGATAAAGTCGTGGCTTTTATTAAAAAAATCCATAACCGTTAACACCTAGTTTAAAACCATTTCCGATTTAAACAAATTTTAATAGTTATAAAGTCTTTGCTTCAAACAATCAAAATCATTTTTGATTGTCATTGTACGTTGTTTTGCTGTAAACTCACTTCACCTTTGAGCTTTAATATCTCGATGACGATTCATCGTATCCACAAGATCAAAAGTGGATTTTGTTAGTTAATCCTTTCTCTATTTAATCCTATAATTTCATTTGAAGAATATGCAAATTCGGTAGCTCCAGCTCCAAATGTTTATAAGTATTTTTTCGACAAAATTTTGAAAAATTCTTAATTGTTGCTAAAATGGATCAAATCGAAAATTTTTTAATGGGGATTGATAGTTGAGAGTCCAAAGGGTACGTATAAAAATTGGGAGCTCAAAATAATCATTGGTTTTATCGTGAGAAACAATTGAAAAATAAGTATAAATCTGTATTTTCTTAATTAACAATTGAATTGTGCGAAATGTACCCGGCCGATTTCAATGAAAACATTTCCGCAATACTATCATATCATGAAGTACACAGAACCGTACTTTTTATATGACTGTTCTAAAGTCAAGGTCCGTAATAAATTAATGAAAATAACATATTTTTTCACGAATTTTTTTTTGGTTTATACTGTATTGCAGCAAAAATAATGCACATAAAAATTTAGGACCTCTGTTATTTTGAAGAGAATCTCAAAACGAACCTATTTTTCCTTTGACTATTTTCTCTAATGTCAATATTCTTCGAGTTATACATGAAAGAAGGGAGAAAAATACACCTTTTAAATTTTTTTTACATTTTCTTATGCTAATAATTATGCACAACTTTTTCAGCGGGCGAATATCGCAATTATCATTTTACATAATATTTAGAACTATTTCCAACAAAAATTATCGTTACTATATAAAACATTCATCCCGAACCAGATACCGACTGGACTAAAAACATTATGTAGATACAGAAACTCATCTGGAAGTAGCGCCAAGCCGGCTGACATGACGGTCCCATGCGGTGACGTCATTGCATTGGCATGGCTGAGACAATTATTCGCATTTTAAAAATCGTATAGTTTCAAAACCGCCTAATCATGAGCAATACTTTGTGTATAAAAAATAAGAACGTTTTTGAAAACTTAATGAATGACCCCAGTATTGTAATGAAATTCAGATTAGTGTGCTGCTTTTACATTTGTTTACGTACCATGTTTAGGAGGGGGGAATACATCATTTTTAGGAGGGGAGCAGTGTAGCGAAATTCAAATTAGTGTGCTTTTTTACTTTTACATTCATTTGTTTACTAATTTGTTTCATCATGTTTCTAGAGTACCTATGTTCTGTTTCTATCTTGTTCTTAGAAGCTTAGATATTGTTCTTAGAAAGTCATGGAAAGTTCGCGAAACAAAGAAAACTATAAAAACGACCGGGCTGATGCGCGGGTGAAGTTTTTGAGGTTAGGTTGTTATTTGTCATTGTGAATTGTCAAAGTTGTAAGCTGTGTCTGTATAAAAATAGTATTAAATAAAGGAAATTCGGTACAGTATTGATTTTTTGGGGTAAAGCATGAACGGTCAATAAAACTGATTTATTATTCCATCACAAGGTCATTTTTAGTTTAAAAAAGATTACATATATGAAGAATGACTACTTTTTGCGCAATAGTATGAATATTTTGATCTAAATTGATTTGTCGAGATGTTTATTGAATTATTGTGTTGTGATATTATTAACGCTTACGAAGGGGAGCAACGGAGGCTAGCCACCGCTGTTCTGTTGACTTGACACCTGTTATGATATGATAGGATGGAAAACGGAAAGGGCTGAATACGTCGCCACAGTTTCGTTCTATTACATTTTTATTTTAGTTTTCGATTTATCGGTTTACGAGAGGGAGTCCGTAAAGCGCCTTTGTGTGGTGGGTGTAGGTGTATATTATGAAAAAACAGGTATGTGAATCAAGAAAGAGGTGATATGATTAGAGTCTACTTTTTGATTCTGCTACAAGAATTGTCCCGAATGGTAAGTGCCAACTAGGATAATGTTTGTAAGATTGGTTCAACATTTAAGAGATTCATATGCTGCAAAAATCAGGTGAATAAACAGATTATTTACTTATTTTTATTTATTTGATTTATTATTATTGATTACTGCTTGAGTTTTCTATTTGATTATTTTTTAAGTACTGTTTCATAGTTTATCTTTAAAATAATTAAATTTTCGCTTATGTGGGATGATAGGGATCCAGGCGAACACCCATTTAACAAAAGTACCGAGCCAACGAGCAGTACCTCATGACGGATGGTGTGAAAATTTGCTTTTCAATAATCTTTTCTTTAAATGATAAGATTTGCCAACAATGTATAGCCCAGTTTCCAATTGTACATGCGCTGAGACTAACTCCGTTGTTTGAAGTCACACCAACTTGTCCAGCGGCGGGATATAAAAAATGTGTAAAAAAATGTTAAAAAACAAGTTTTCACAGCAATTCGAAAAAAGGAACTATTGACACGTGTTTCTAAAGGTCAAAGGTAGCCTCTGTATAAATATGATCCAATTAAAAGTTACACCCTATAAATATGTCTATCAACAGCATAGATACCTGGAATCACTACGAAACACAGGATGAGACGCCTGAGGGTAACTTTATATGAACATTTTTTATTACTATGTTTTGTCAATCATCATGAACTTTTAAACAACTTAAAAAACTAAAAAAGGATAACAGACGTCCACATTATTCTTTTTTGATCATTTTATTTTATTTATAATTCACGTATTTTTTTATGTTTCCCTTAAAATTATAAATATTTAAAACAATTTAGAAGCCAAACAATTTCAAAATTGGTCACACATGTTTAGAAAAAATGTCGGCATACAAAATCTGTAAAAAGTTGTTATCCTTTTTTTAATTGAAATATAAAAATCGAATACCTATTTATATTCAAAATGTAATCGTTTTCCAATAAACATCAGAAATACACGTACAGTGTATTTCACATTTCATTAGTCAAATTAATAAAATCTTTAGAAATATAAATCTGTTCACTGTCGTCTCTGATTTATGACATTTTAGAAAAGACAGTAAAAATATGTAAACTATAAGATTATTGTAAGATTTAAAAGAAATTGGTAAAATTTCGCTATATGAGGTCTGTTTAGAAAATAACCGAACTTTTTTATTACGCGCTAATGAAGATATTTAGTGATATGCGGTTGGCAACATTGCGTTACGCATAACCTCGTCTGTAACCACATGTTCTTGGATTGTTGATATGTTGACATCTGATTTAGTTTTCGTGATATTGTTATTTGAATGCAACGTGCTTAAGTGTTAGTGACGATTTTTGAAATGTGCGAATTTTTGGAACAACGATGCAATGTATAATTTTGCGTGAAATTGAGGAAAACTTTCGCGGAAACGTTTCAACTTTTTAAACAATCTTACGGAGATTATGCTTTGCGTCGTACGCATTCTTACGAATGGTTTTCAAGATTTAAAAGTGATTGTTAGTCAATTGAAAATGGTTCTCGACCAGAAAGGCCTTCGACTTCACCTGATGACTCTCACGTTCAGAATGTTAAAAGTTTTGGTGCGTGAAAATCGCCGATTAACTGCCAGAGAAATTGCAGAAGAGGTTAGGTTAGCATCTCATTTGGGCCATGACATGAAATTTTGCCTGAAAAATTGAACATGCATCGAGTTGCAGCAAAATTTGTTCCTCGTTTAATGACCGAACAATAGAAAGAAAATAGTGTGGACATATGTCGGCAACTCCTTGAACAATCCAATGACGATGAAACATTTATTCAAAGGATCATAACGGGAGACGAAAGTTGAGTTTACGGTTACAATTTTGAAACAAAAGTTCAATCATCACAATGGATTGGCAAAGAATCTCCACGCCCCAAGAAAGCGCGTTAGTCCTTTTTCTTTAAATGATTTTCGACTTTTGCTAGTAGATCCCAAAACGTTGCCTGAGTCATTCGAAAATATTCGTAGAATTTTATTTCCTCGTACATCAAATGTGGATACAAGGTCATAAATTCTCTTTCCGTGTTTTATGAACTCATATTTTATTTTTCAATTTGTTGTCTCTTGTACAGAGTTAGTCACTATAATCTGACAACTTATTGCGAGTTTATTATTGAAATTACAAAAAAGTTTTTAATACAAAAGTTTTAGCTTTCTTTATGAGTTTTTATAATACAGTTTTAGAAAAAACAATTGAATAATGGAAATCACTAAATTAAAGAATTTTTTTAATGAACGCTATATATCAGTGCAAATTTTTCTCTTTTCAGAAATATATAATATGTTAGGGTAAAGATTCCTATTATGAGACATCTTTTTTAAAAAATCATGTTTTTTTAAATTTTAACATTTTTCTTGGAAAATTAACGTTTTTCTGTAGGGAATTTAATCTAGATCCTTCAAAAAAACGCAAGAACGCCTCAAATTTGTATTTTAGTTTTTAAGTTAGATTTTATCAGAAAAGTAAGATTTGCTTAATCGAAAAAGAGGTTCCCAATTTGAGACAGTATGGGTTCTCAATATGAGACTATCTCAAATTAGGGAATAAAGCTGAAAATGACCTATTATTTGCTCAAACATATTCGGAATACAAACCGGCGCAATATGGACACTCTGCATCGTCTTCTGAAGCATGGTGTGCGAAACATTGTCATCATCACTGGACGTTGATGATTCAGTAAAAACTTTCCTTTTCACAGGCATTTTCCCAGTTCCTTTTCCTTTTGCAGCACTTTTCCTTGGCTTTCTTTGTTTTTCCTTTTTTTTGCCTCCTTTTCTTTTTTTCTCTTCAAAGCTTCTTCTATTTGTAGTTTGTACGGAGAAGATTGCAAATTTAGTATTGAAGGTCTAATGAAAAAACCTTTGTTTCGCTCATCTATACTAGTTACCCAGTGGTGAAAATGCTTTAACTTCATATGCGACGCCTTGTCCCGTAATATGAGGTACCTCATATTAGGAGCTCTCAGGTGTCTCATAATAGGGTCTTAAGAAATTTTATTCAGTTTTAGGTTAGTTGGTAAAAGCATGACAAAAATTGACTCAACGGCATAATAAATAGATACTACGTCCTGTTAGCTTTATGTTAATGATAAACAACACTGTCTTGTTAATAATTTTCTGTTTTCTACATACCTTTACGACAAGCACTGCAAGTACTTTGGCGACCGGCGGCACACAGGAACTTGCCGCACAGCCAACTGCTTTCCCGCGCGACGCGTCCTCTGTTAACATACGATAGAAAGTGAACTGCCGGTAATATAGAACAGTGGCGCTCTTTTTAAAAAATGGCCTAATTTGCGAGAAAGCCCGGTGTCTCATATTCGGAACTGTCTCATAATAGTCATCTTTACCCTACTGTTTGTTTCAGAACTTTTCGACATATTTCAGATTAAATTTTATTTTATTTCTAACTGTCTTGAAGCATTTACTGTGGACTCTTGTGGCCTTTTTACAATAATTTAATATTTAATTTACCATGGTAAACCTCGAATGAATATTTGCTTAATACCTTGAAAATATAGTAATATAGTTAGTTCTAATTCTTCATTTGGAATAATTCTTCGTTTCTGTCTTCTAAGAGATTTTGTTTCTCTAAAGCGTCGCTCAATGTCGTAAAATGCAACTCGAGATGGAATTGGAAACCCGGGATGCAAACGAGCATACTCGGCGCGCACTGCATTGTCAATATTATTAAATTAATGATGATAAATAAACTTCTGTCAAAATCATTTGTTTGTTCCGCGTGCCTCGTCCATAGCCACTGCGATCCGTCAGACATAAATTTCCCTCCTGTTTTTTCAAAAATAGTTTTAAACTTAAATATGTCGAAAAGTCCTGAATCAAACAGTAACATATTACATATTTTTGTTTAATTTAACGATGCTAAGAATGCACTAATATATTCCGTTTAAAACATTTTTTTTTCTTTAATTTAGTGATTTCCATTATTCAATTGTTTTTTCTAATACTGTATTATAAAAATTCATAAAAAAGCTAATACTTCTATAATTGTAATTTCAATAATAAACTCACAATAAGTCGGATTATAGTGAATAACCCTGTACATTTTTGCTCTTCTTCCAAGGCTAGTGCTACCATAGCTAAATCGGTGTGTGTAAAATTTGAAACCATGTTGATACAATACTCTCGTAGGACACTTGCCTAGCAACCGTCTCGTGCCCATCCAGACCTTAATGGATGGCATTTTCAACGCGCATGCGTTATAAAAAAATATATCAGGACATCATTACGCCAGACGAAAAATTTTACCTTTCTAAAAATATAAATCGTCGTCATTTTATTTGCTTTGCCATCTAGGAAAACAGCATTTTTATTGGAAAAGGTTATTGTATTGTTAACATTTTTGTTTCGGTTCTTTTAAAGTTTAAATAACATGTTATAACATAAAAAGTACATCTTGTTCTAATGTCCGAGAGTCGATCGTCCATTCCAGGATCGTACTTTGTTTTCACATGACATGGAAACAGATATATTTAGAGATATTATTTTTAGATTTTATTTTGGAAAATGATTTATTATCTATTTACTGCTTGTAATTCAATGGTGATATAGCCTATAGAGTAGTTATTTCCAGAAATATCAGCAGTTAGTGTTAGATAAACTTTGCATACCTAGATTTCTGGTATCGAAGAACATTGTTTGACTCAATTTGATAAGATTTTTTAGAAAAACAGTTTTCAAATTGGTTTGAATTAACTTAGTACATTTACATTGGCTTTTCTAATATTGTGACAATAAATTGAACTGTAATGTAAATGATTAATTTTATTTTATACCAATTCAAAATATTGTAACCATTTAGTAAATCAAAAGTCAAAATCAGGATCTATTATAAATTCACTCACTTCGCGACATACCTATGCCTACTGTTTGTTGGTAAGCATCCGCAGGGACAAGAACACACGGAGGTATCATCGGGATCTAACGACGTTGTTTCTGTACAATGATGTCCTAATTGACCACTCAGGATGGAGCCGTTAGCTGTTATAACGTCTCCCTCTAACCTTACAGCTCCCGCAAGGGCCTAAAAATAAAAGTAATGGGTAACAATAAGTTACAACTGTGCTTCTCTCTAAGCGATATAAAATGACCATATGAAAAGAAAAAATGTCGGAATCCTGAGCGATTACCTACAGCAACTTCTTAATTCACAATGTTAATAAATTCATAAAGCTGATGCACATAAAATGGATATATTAGATCCAAAAAGAATGTTATTTTTTAATGAATATTTGATTTATTATATTTCATTTAATTATCTATTTTTTTTAGTAACCTAAAAACAGAATATAACGATTCTCAAACTTTCATCTTTTTAATTTTTATTTATTTTAATAAATACCAACCTGCATGGCCTGTGCTTCATCCCGTCTTTCGTCTTCGGTGTTCATCGTCACAAACCGAAGAACTAACAAGTTCAATGAAGCTGCTACAATTGCTAAGCCGAACAAAATGAAAATGAGGGCAAACATAACATACTCTGGTTTCTGGCTTAGAGCATTATCTTTCTGGAGCGCCACCTGAAGAAAAATATATAATGAATTATTAAAATTCAAATGGCGATTGTGCAAAAACTATTAATTCGACAGAATCAGGGTTTAGCACAGGTAAAATACATGTAAATGGCTACCTGTCTGCAAAGTTTCAGTTCTTAAAATTAAAAAATGGCGGAGTTCTGAATTTCTAAAGAAAACGTCAAATTTTCCGGTTTTTCCGGATTTCCTCCGGTTCTAATTATCCGATCGGATCATTCGACCTCTCATTCTCTTTGTAATTTCATTCTCTACGATTCGTACGACATCAAGATTGCTAGAGTAGTTTCCATTTTATAAGCAAAAAACTAGAAAAGTGCGAATTTTTGTTGAAAGTGTGCAAAATTCATCTACTAACTGTCCTTCACATAACTGTTTCCAGGTAGTTTTTATGTCATGAGAAAATGCTTTATTGCTTGGCCTATATTAATACTTTGAGGATGCTGATGAACACTTTTGAAAACCAATTGAAAATTTTTGAGAAGTAGTTTATGAGATCGATGGTGTTAATTGTATTGTAAATATTCCCCTAACAGATCTTCAATACATCTCAATTACAGTAATATACTGATAATTCGCATTTTGGTTATCGAATTCATGGGTTATCTGGGCCAATTTCTTTCCAATATGTCTCTTAAGATCCGGATTCTAATGCTTAGGTCATTGTTAGAGATGACTTTTATGTTAGAATCCTAGTCTTGTTGGTCGTCAGAGAAACATCGTACAACTAGGGACAACTAGGGGTAAAATCTGAAGAAGCATTTTGATAATGCTTAAAGATAGCCCTATGCTAGTGCTAGTAATATGTTTGTAATTGACAAAGAGGTGTATCATTCATTATTATTGTTATTGTAAACATTTTTATCTGCCCAGTTTTGAACTTCCAACATATTAGTCATCCATCTTTTAAAAAATTAACGTCGTTAAATGTTACCAAGAGTCAGTTGCAACAGCTGATACTGTTTATCTAAAGAGTTTAATGTTGATGAAAGTTTCCGTCAAAGGAATGAAGGTATCTTAACGACACGATGAACATTAACAATTATTTGGTCTAGAAGGATTCTTAAAGGTGAGTTGGAATATAAGTTTATGCTTGATATTATTGGGTTTATTGTTGGCTATGAGACTGAAAGCAGTCACATGTTTTATTGTTTATGTTAACTTGGGGTTGAAAGAAACCTCATGAGATTGAGAGAAACTTTGACTGCCATATTTGATAGTCTTGGCTTGAGGTTGAGAGAAATATCGGCTGCTCCAGATTTGTTAGTTATTGTGTTGGAAAAATCTTCGTTGCCTCTGGTTGAATACTATTAATACAGGATAGGATAAACTTCACACCAAATCTTAATATTTGATAGAGGAATCTCTTTTAGTGAAGTATATAGAGCGACCAACAAGTGTTGATTATCTAACATGATTTAAACTTACATTGGACTGTTCTAAAGAAAAAATGTTTTCGTTCATAGAAAAAAAAAGAGTATCAGCTACAGTATCTGATTTTCTTTGAATGTGCTTAATATGTGAATGAACTAAGCTATAAATATTAAATACATATAGTAATTGTCGAGAAGATTTTTCTTTATTTGAATAAAGGATTAAGATCTGTAAATATAGTTATATCAAATATGTCTTATAGATTCATAAATAACAATAAGGTCTCGGTCAATAGTAGAATTTTTCGAAAAGTCTTCCCAATTCCGATGTTTGAAGCTTATATAGATTTTTGCATTGAAAATAGAATGTGAAAGACATATTGCTTTAATAAGGAAGTTTTCGCTAAATTGAAACTATTGTAACAATTATTATGTATTGGATTCTGTAAACCTGTAACAAATTTATGCAAAGTAGAAATTTAGACAAATCTATGATCAAAATTGATTGTACCTATAAATCGTTGTACTTTCTGGTACTGGAAAGTTTTTAATAATTTACATATGTTCGTTTGAAGCTAAAATTCCTTTTGAAGAAATTGTATATTGAAATTCACATTTTGAAGAATTTGTGTTACATCAAAAGTGCTCATCTCTAAATTATTTTAAATAATTTATACGTTCTTTATTATTTTTTATTTTAAATCACATCACCAATATCCATAAATGCGAAATCTAAACCTGAAACTAATGCATTGATAAATCTTTGAAATATTTGTCCCGCATTTCTTAAACCCAATGGCACCCTAAGAAATTCGAAAAGTCTGAAAAGTGTGTTGTTATAGCTGTTTTATAAATATCTTGTTCAGCAACTGAATCTCATGTTAAGCTCTAACAAGATCAATTTTTGAAAATCAGTTAGAACCATAAATACATAAATTTAAATCATGGACATCGATCTGGTCAATAGGATTCTTTTTAGTTTCTTAGCTACCATATGTAAATGTAAAGTGAAGCTGTCAAAGTATAAACGAACAAATGTTTGTAAAATGAAGATACTTACCATGTCGCCAAATCCGATGGTGGTAAGAGTGATAAAACAATAATAAACTGAGTCGAAGTAACTCCAACCCTCATATCTGGAAAAAGCAGCGGCTCCTCCAGCTATCGTCAGCGAACTCAAAAATGTGACGACACATATGAGATCCAATTCAGAAGCCGTCGTCTGCCGACAATGTAAGGAAGACTTCACGGAACGGATGATTACGCTAAAAGCAAAATAAATGTAAACAATAAATTCAGGTCTATGGGCCATATAAATTTATGAGCTTCATTCACCTCGAAATCTGTGTCTAAGTATGTAACTGTTTTATACCAGATACACACGTTACGATAAATCGTATCAATTTGACTGTGCTTTAAAAGTCGCTACTATTTATTCTATCCAGATGGCACAAAATCTGTGCAAACGAACGTATGCAAGTCTGGCATCGCTAATTTAAGTATAAATACAAAGTCAACTGGACATTGAAAGTTGTGTTTTGTGTTTCAAGTTTATGAAACCTGTAACATGATCGCCCACCGTCTTCCACACCCTATTAGGAAGTAGTACAAGTTATGGTCTTTGTATTTTATTTTTGGCTTATCTAATCTTATAAGCTTGTTACGTGCCAGGTTGGAACACACTCCGTATTTGTTAGTGACTGCTACTACGCTTTTAATACTACAAAAAGTAATTGAACACTCCCTATTCAATTCCGGTATATTTAAGTTGATTCAAAATTGTACAATCGCCATATAATTAAAATGGGCAATCGGCTGTAGTACACAACACATTATAACACTTACACTTAAATGAAACAAATGTTATTTACTTCAAATTGTTTCAAAATCTAGGTGGCAGGAACAAACAACAAATTTTATACTAACAAGTACTATGGAATAGATCAGTCTAGGGTCTTTAGGACCCAGGTTCCATATTGGCTATACAGGACAGGATCTCCCACAAAACAGTGTTCATACAGCCGCTACATATTCCTCAAAGAAAAACGATTGAATTTAGGTCTAAAAATGCTTTTTAAAAGTTATAGGATCCTAAAGTCTCAGTTTTGAACGAGTGAGGAAACCTTCACGATTTTTCATTGATACCTGAGAACCGATATTGATATCTTAAAATCTTTGAAGGTATCAGAGTTGTCTTAAGAAAATCAAATAATAATAAGCAAAATAATAAGCAAAATTGGACAAATGTAATTTTATCTAAATCGGTTTATTTGAGTCCAACCGTTCCAATCGTTCAACCTTTGGCTTCCGGATACCCTGTATAACGATGATAGGAGAAACATTCATATCCGTTATTATTTTCGTCACACACCTTATGGAAGCTGGTCTTGCGGTGAAATTTCCTAAAAAATTTATATGTTGTCCCTTTTTTTTAACTGATCAAGAGTCTTCATGGCGACGAAAATTATATTTGAGAATGAATCAGTTTTTTACTGTTTTTGACCTTTTTGTGAGTTCTACCGCCTCCAGATGGGCATTTGGAGCTTCGTGGCCATGAAGGCTTTTGATCAGTACAATTCCATAAGGTGTGGGCGGGTTCCTTTGTTTTTAAGACACGCTACGTTAGTTAACAAAGATAAATTTTTATTCAAAAACATTTTTCAATATATATTTTTAACCATTTGATGATAGTTGCGTAAAGGATATAAGTAGTTTTTCCAACCACCATATTGAATCCGTCATTTTGAATATTGCAATTAATTCATTTCAGGTTCTTCTTTTCTTTTTTTTTTGAGTTTTCACCCGACGCGGGTCAATTTTTGAATAATCACGAATACGTCAAAAATAAAAAACAATTTCAACAAAGGATTTCTCGGAGAGGAAAACACATAATCTAACGATTTGAAGAAGCTGGGTGGTACCTTCAGATGTCTTAACAAATGTAGAGAAAAATTATCTCGTTATTCAATATAACCTTAAATATAACGAATAACCCTCTTTTTCGGACATTTAAGTTATGGTTTTTCTAAAACCTGATGTGATGGAGTAATTATTATGAGGTCTGATTGAAATTCAACGTGTCGAAAACCTTCGGGAAAGTATAGTCTAGTTTCTGATTTAGAAGGTCAGTTACTTTGTCGGTCTGTGTAATTATTTATATTTTATTCATTATATTATTACTATGGCAATACATAAATAGCCATAGTAAGCAAGCAATATAAAAATACTTAATAATACAGAAATAAATTTGCGCAGCATTTTGAACTCCCCCATATTTAAATCCGGACCCCTCCCTTTAAACTTTTTTTCTGAGTTTTAAGTAAACTGCTGTGGTTAGTTTGTTAGATAGTTATTAAAAAGGAGATTTTTTATAAAATTATGAGAAATACTTCAGCCAAATTTTTTTCATTCTTTTAATTCTTCTTTTTCTGAGTGTAATATATATTTTTTAAATATATGGAAGTTCTTACATATTACAAAATTTTTAAGTATACCTATAACAGTACGTTTGCTCAACCTGAAGTTTCGCGTAATTAATTAAAAACAATTTTGGCTCCTACTCGTAAAGTCCTGTATTACTCTTATTTAAGTTCCAAGCCAATGTAATAATTCCACTCTACAGTGTAGGAAAGTACCGATGGTCTATCAGAAGTTACGTGAGAGCGATAAAGTAAGCCATAGAAATCCATGTGATAGACAAGGATGGCTATAATGAAGGCGTCTAATAGTCAACGCCCATTTCGCCCTTCCACAAATAAGATCCACTTCTTATTTGTTTAATTATCATCAGTTTGAGCAGTTCCGGAGCCTTGTACTATACAATCCGTTAACAGAGGGCAGCCCTAGAAAGAGTGATGCCAGATCTACAGATTTTTTGGAATTGGGGAAATAGGGAATTTTGCTATCTTGGGATTTTTAAGTCATTTTAAAAAGTATACTTAAATAANATCCACTTCTTATTTGTGGAAGGGCGAAATGGGCGTTGACTATTGAGACGCCTTCATTATAGCCATCCTTGTCTATCACATGGATTTCTATGGCTTACTTTATCGCTCTCACGTAACTTCTGATAGACCATCGGTGCTTTCCTACACTGTATGCTTTAGCTTTAGGCTTTTGTAGAATCTTGACTTAACATCATTACAATAACAAAGTCTCGTGTATTTAACCAAACTTAACAAGATGGGCATAGTTTAACATAATAAATTATATTCTCGACATTTAATTAATATAAACAAGTAATGAATTTTCTCTAAATCGTCCCTTCTATTTAGGAAATTAAAGCAGCAGCAGTTAAATTTACTGTCAGCAATTCGGTTGGAATATATGAATTTTTATAATTATTTATTTTATTTTGACTGTATATGAATTATTATTTAATTGAGTAAATTTAAGATGAGAAAAAACAAGAAAAAAAAGTCGCTTAAAGTTAAATTCAAAGATTATGGTTATTTTAGTGGAAATTCAGTCAATTCCAACTGAATTCTAAGGATCTCAAAAAGTTATAGTTATAACCCTTTCAGTAAATATATAATAAAACGGTGTAAAAACAATATGACATTTAACAGTTTACTCCTAATAACCCTTATTCAAAAATTCGGGAAATAATATACTAACAGCTGCAAAAAATGTGACTTTTAAATTTATTATGAAAAGTACGAATTCCCTTAAAAACATTTCTAGACTTATTGCCTTGAAAAGAGTCCCGATCCGAAAATGTTGATTGCATATTTTTCCGATTTATCTACAAAGGCATCTATTTTATGGTCAAATTACTCCATGTTGTGCAACACTTACAGTTAGTACAAAGGAAAACATTGATTATATCAAAATACACCAGGCACAGAAATTAAGCAGAAGAAACAAATTTATGGGTGATTTTCAAAAAGCTGTAACTTGGAGGGAAATGGTCATAGATAGAATCAAAAAGAAGGAAATTGAAGCTTCAAGTGTCTAGTTCTCAGATCTGGAGTTTAAATGTTTTATATATTTTTAGCGTCCGTAGTTTTTGAGTAATCATAAGAAAATCAACGAAAAAAAAATTGCAAATGTTTGTTTTTCTTTAAAAAGGCCTATTAACTTAAAAAAAAAATTTTTGGTAATTTCACCATAAAACTCTTTTAAATCATTTAATTATCTTCAGTTTGAGCAGTTCCGGAGCCTTGTACTATACAATCCGTTAACAGAGGGCAGCCCTAGAAAGAGTGATGCCAGATCTACAGATTTTTTGGAATTGGGGAAATAGGGAATTTTGCTATCTTGGGATTTTTAAGTCATTTTAAAAAGTATACTTAAATAACAACTATATGAACTTTAAATGCAGCTGAGCACTATACTCCATTTAAATAACTTCTCAGTAGGGGAAACAAGGTCACTAGATTTACAAACAGAGGTATCTACTAGCTATTGTAAAAAGTTTTCTTTGTTACGCGTTGTGCTGCCCTCTGTTAACGGATGGTATTAACATATCGGAATACCGAAGTCGAAATTGTATAAGTAGTGACATCTATTAAAGAAAAGCCAAACGACGAAAACAAAGATGACCACCAGTCGCTGAATTACAAGTGGAAGTGGATCTTATTTGTCGCCGACCCTGTATATGTGCAGGCCTTGAAAGTGAGGTTTCAAATTTCGAAAAAAATCAATATCTCAGACATACTTGAACTTAGAAAAATCTAATTTGGTACACGGTGTGAGTGTACTAAGAGCATTAATCGACAGTAAGTAGAGTTCAATTGAAGCATTCTTCCGAAGAAATTCTTGGACTAATGATTTTAATTTGTTTAGAACAATAGTTTACGTCATTACGTCTTGAAAAAGGTGTTTCAAGAGAAAATAATATTGTGATTCATTATTAGCTACCTATGTAGGTATTTGATAATAATATTTATTAAATTACGTTAAATTTAGTCTTACTTTGTTTTGTTGTAAGGAAGTTGTTTTTATTTACTTTAAAATAATACCAACCTTCTCCTTATCCGTAAAGCTTTTGTACTATCTTTCACGCTGACATCAGACACTAGCCGCGTACTATGCGACGGGTACATTAACCGTGAACTGAAACTATAAGCAGCTTTGAGCAGGCCTCAGTTCCCTCGTAAATCAGGTTATTTTAACCGCTTCGCGAAGAGGGGGCATATTGTGTGAAAAGTTATAATAAACATTTAATATGTGGAATATGTTCAATAAATGTTATATTTTTTACTTAATAATACATTTTTAGGTGAGTTGGTTTGCCTGCGTGTATTTATGGTATTTATGAGTATTTACTTATAAAATATAAATAAAAAAGCGGTACGGGAAAGTTACTTTTCCGGCCTAAGGCCGAAAAAGTGACTTTCCCGCACTGTTTGTTGATGGTTGCTTAGCAATGAACTAAAATACTAGGTATTTTGAGGTCTGAAAGAATATTATTATTGACATAAAATGGACCCTATTTAGTATTATTTGATACCATAATTTACATTTTTCATTTTCGTTTCTCCTTAGTAACATCGAGGTGCCAAGTATGAAATACACACTATAACTAAAGGACCTGCATTCACCAGACGATTAACAATAACAAAATCACTTTTGAGTCTTAAGTCGAGGCATCTAAAACGTACCTGCTTAGCCTATTAACCCTTTCTCCGATGCTTTGAAACATTACCAGGCCCAAAGGGATTCCTATCATGGCGTAGAACATGGTAAACAACTTTCCGGAAATAGTGCTAGGAGTGGAATGACCGTAACCTATCGTGGTTAAAACGGTCGTCGCATAATAAAATGCTCCCGTGAACTTCCACTGCTGACCAGCCCTGTGCGGCTCCGATTTCAGCACGATGGTCTCCATTATTCGGAAATCCTCGTCGCTTATGTTATACTTTCTTCTGACTATAGCTTGGATTTCTGAAAAATCAATAAAAACCAGATGACACAGTGGTCTCACTCACTTGTTCCATTTGTGGAACAAGTATGTTTTATTTCATTTTCAACTGATACAATGCCCGCGGATTATGGCCCAGAGAGGAGGGACTTTTTCATTTTCGACTGTTTGGAGAAGAATTGTTCCATATAAAAAAAATTGGTTGTCAAAATAATCATATTACCTAAGTACATTCAGATTTTGATACGCAGGTTGTTTAAAAATTAAGAAAATGTGATATAAAGTCTACTTATGATAAGTGCAATATCGTCACAGTGCGAAATGGCACAATGTTGTCAACTTGTGTTTGTTTTCATGATATTTAAGAGAATATATTTTTTATAGTGGATCCAATTTATTAAAATAATAGTAAATACTTTAGTAAACAGTCAAAAATTTAATTTTGATTTAAAATTGTGCACTGTTTTATTGCAATTAATATTTTTTAGTTTTCGTCAAGTGTTTTTATTCAAACGTTAAAAAACAATATAGGGAATGCAAAACAATACATATTTTTAACATTTATTTGTTTATATTTTTGTTGCGGTCCCTATAAACCGAGCACAACTCTATTGGATTATTCTAGAATTTGACGGATGCGCCAGTAACAGCATACATCTCATCAAATTGATTAAAAACAGAAAAGAATATAAGTGGGTCGAACAATTTAGAAGTTCCAAAACAGATAATTTTTGGACAATAATTTTCATAGCATTTGATGATTTCGAATAGCTTAAAATGGCGGTTTCAGTTTTTCTCTACGTTCTATACGATTTGTCAAGAAATCGCAATAAAAATTTCAAAAAGCAGCAGAAGTACCTACTGCTACAACTCCCAATTCAAAAATAGTGTTATTTCGTGCCTGATACATTTTTATATCCTCCCAGACTAGTTCAATGCTGTTCAGCTGACAGTGTTTTGGTGGCAATCGAAGAAATGTAGCACCGCGAACTTTAGCAATTTCATCTCCTAGATATTTTATGTATTTGGCATTTTGTTTTTGTGTAATTGATACTTTTATCATCGTCACTTCATATTCAATGTTTTCTCTTCAACTATTCCTTGATTTCTCCCTTACTCCATGCAGATGTTGGTAATTTTTCCATTTGTCAAATATGATAAGACGCATTATCCATGACAGTCACTGCGCTAGGTTCGATGTAAGGTAAAATAGATGCAACCTATTTTCAATTATCCCACTGTCCTCATGATATCCCCATGGGAATCTGTCGATGCGGTTAGAACACGTGTAGATCATTATAAAAAAATCCGCAATCGCTTCGGATATATTCAATTAAATATTAGAAGAGAATGTCCGAAAATGGGCCGTGTACTTAATATGGGCCCTATGGTTATTCGTACTAGAACATCTAGCGGCATCACTGAATAATACTTTAAAAGACAGCTACCTAGTAGCGAACTGTTTTACCGACATTGTGCAGTTGATTTCTTATATTGATAGAAAGAAGTGGTTGTGAATGTGTTACTGGAATTCTGAATATTATCTGGAGATAAGTTGTTATTATGTTTTATACGATTTTTAGTGACTAGGTATGTTTGTATATTCACCTAGATATTTTGTATAAAGATCAAAGTTTATTTTGTTTAGAAAATATTTTGATTTACTTAAACTCTACAAATAATAGGTATATATTGTTGAATGACATGCAATGCTGGTAATATGGGCCTTTTGTGGGTCCGAATATGGGCCAGGGCCTATATTCTCCNTATTCCTACTAGAACATCTAGCGGCATCACTGAATAATACTTTAAAAGACAGCTACCTAGTAGCGAACTGTTTTACCGACATTGTGCAGTTGATTTCTTATATTGATAGAAAGAAGTGGTTGTGAATGTGTTACTGGAATTCTGAATATTATCTGGAGATAAGTTGTTATTATGTTTTATACGATTTTTAGTGACTAGGTATGTTTGTATATTCACCTAGATATTTTGTATAAAGATCAAAGTTTATTTTGTTTAGAAAATATTTTGATTTACTTAAACTCTACAAATAATAGGTATATATTGTTGAATGACATGCAATGCTGGTAATATGGGCCTTTTGTGGGTCCGAATATGGGCCAGGGCCTATATTCTCCCCTGATTTTGAATTCAGTTCTTTTTCCATGTTGACCATGCCACGTAACAAACCAAAGTTTTCACCAAAGAATTTAAGGAAACAATGAAACTCCGAAGACATTATAAAGGCTATGGATAGCGTAAATAACTAAAAATTACATTTGTGACTTTTGCAAATAATTTCTTTCTTTCCAATTTCTGTTGTTGCCATTACTCTTTTGTATAATCATATATGAAGTTTTTTTACTAGAAAATAAAGTTTCCTTTGTTAAACGTAAACTTATGCATCATTTTTGATAGGGGCCCATATTTCATACACTCTACCCTCATACAAGATATTGTTCAATTTTCTTATTTTAACTGATATCTCAGTATTTTTTATATTTCTGGAACTTTGCCGCGCTCATTATTGAAGACGAGTTCTTGGTCTAAGTGTGTCCCAATTTTTAGGTGTATTTGTCAAAAAATTTGTTAATAATCTATAAAAAACAAAATAGCCCATATTCGGACCTTCTCCTCTACCTTTCCCATTAATCCTGTTCATCGAGATAATACACTTTTGTTATCGATATACACACTATTTTTTTTTCATTCTCAATTAGCAGACTTAGATTTCATTTTAAGATCCAAAAAATCATTTGTTCTACTATTGCAATTTGAATTTTCTTTTATGTAGAAAGTTCCCTGTTTCACTTTTTATTTTTTTTTTATTTTTATCAGTTTTTAAAACACGTTAAACACTTCTGATAAAGACTTTTGTTTAAGATTTGCAATGAAACAAGAAATATGCAACACAAAGAAAGGCACACCACGAAAAAATTCTGTACAACAAATAGCAGAAGCGAGAAAAAGATAAAAGCAATGACGGAAAATAGAAAAACATGGATACGGTATGTGGATGGAATACAAGAATCTAATCCAACGTCTAACTTCCGGAGAGGTAAACAGAAGGAGAGAAGGGAAGGAAATAAATGCAGGGTGATTCACAACTTATCCAAAAAAATTTAGGAATAAATGCGTCATAAAAAATCGTAAAAAAAATTGTAAAATCCCTATAGTTTTCGAGGAAAAAAATATTGAAGTTGTAGTATGTTTAACCTTTATATCGCTGGACTACTGTAGTATCTAACGTCATTCGCGTCATGCACTCTCTTTCCACGTGGCCTCAGGCAAATACTGAAATCCGATTTCAGTATTAGTTTTTGCGATAGTGTTTACATCAGTTTTATGTGTCAAAAATAGCTTACTTGTATAGCAACTCGGAGTTGATGGATATCGTTTTAATTTATGGTGAAGCAAGACAACATTTGTGTTATATTGAAGCAAGATAACATTTGTGTTAGTTCGTAGAAACTGGGTAAAACGAGCCCAAATATGTTTATACGTCGGTAGACAAAATTTTGAACAGTTATAACACGAACTACGTCAAATTATTTTATTAATTAAAACCACAAATACATTTCATTAATTATTTATAACAATAGGGCCAAAAGTAGTTAAATTTGCTTATGTAAAACAGGTGTAATAAAATTTTATTTATTTCCTTCCTTGGGAAAGAAGTTCTTTTAATTTTAGAGTCCGTTCATTTTTTATTACAGTTTGCCACCGCTGACTACATGCTTTGCCTTGCGTAAGATCAGGTTTTACAGTGGACCAGTTTTCCAGTGCCGTGCAGAAGTGTATTTTTAAATCATTTTCGAGCTGCTCTTTTGTTTTTTTTTTACAAAATAGTATTTGTAAGAGTCCCCTATGTATTTTTGGAATAGTACTGAATCATCCTGTATAGTTCCTTACAGCTAACGACAATCAAATAACAGAAAATTTCTTACCTTGTAGAATGATTTTCCTTTGGTTTTCCGTTTTAGACTCCAGGGCGTCGAAAACTGCAGCGCCGATGAGCAAGTATGTAAAGGTGCAAACGATTAGAGATAAGGTGCGAACGTTTTGCTTCTTCATTCTCTAGCGCGCGTCATGCTGGGGCCGGGGGGCTCCCGCGCCGCTAGCTGCCCCCCGCGCGCCCCCCTCCAATCCACCACATTACACCCCCTGCAAAAAAAATCTTGTATTATTCTACGATTCTTCTCATATACAATATTAACATTTAAAGTAAAATTATACAGCGTGTTTCATGACGAATAGTACGTCCTGTACTGGTACCAAATCTGCACTACTCTGTGGAGGAAGACTACCTAAAAAAGTCCTGCGTCAAAATTTGTTGAGATAAAAATTGAATATTTATTAAACTAAATCGGATTTACGAGGGGGCGTCTGGATCATGGGCACCCAGGCGATGTATCAAATGAAACCTACTAGACTTTACGTTTTTAAGAATGCTCTTTTAGATGGCGCCCACAGAATTTGAAAAAACGGACATCTATGTTGAAAAACGCAATTTTTTCCTATTTTCAGTCTTTATACCATATTTTGAAGACTTTATCGCTAAAGTACATACCTAAAACCAATGGCAATGGTGCATAACATTTCTCAACTTAGTGGATCAATAATGTTAGAGACATCGATAATCTGCATCCTATCTTTTGTCTTGACATGATAGTTTTGTTGTGTTAAAATAAAAACACTTGTTATTATTGATAAAAACGTCAAATGTAATCTTCTTGTTTGTGTTTGTGGAAAATATATTTTAAAAGGAAAAGTACAAGTTGTGTGAGTAGGAGCTGTACGATCGGGTAGCTCTCGTGGTTTCGACACAGAACAAATAACGTGCGCATTGATTTTAGTCACTTGATGAACCAAATTGGCAGCTGAATCGGAAAATGGTCTCATCAGATTTTACGACGGTTTTACTTGAAAAAGGCGGGGTTTCTCGGAAAATCTCAAAAAAAAAGTCTTAGAGTTGGTCAAAAAAATACGTTAGAATTTTCTCAAAATTTTTTGGGTCATTTATGAAATTTTCGACTTCGACAATTTTGACCAAATTGATAGTCTTAAAAAACGAGGCGTTTTTTCCTGTAGCTACCTTCTCCTTTATATTCTGAATACTTCTATCACTTTCATCTCTCGAATCCTGTCCACAATTTGGTGGCAAACAGTAATGGGTATATCGGCAGCCAAGGGCGTAGCCAGGATTATTTCCAGAGGGGGCATAACAAAAATACGTAATGTAAACTACTTATTAAAAAATGGTTTCGTTAAAATAAATTGGTTGCAATGCTATTGGAATCAATCGAAATCTTATTTCAGCATTGGTCTTTGAGGGTTCTGGCTAAACTTTGACAAATCTTCTTTTTCAAGTTTATTTGTTTCCAAAATGCTCTTTCTATGCACACTCACCATGCAAAGACCGACAAGCCGATAATATCGAGTAAATTACGCGCGTAATTCGACAAATGATATTCATTATTACGTTATTATTTTATGAATATATCTCAGATTTAATTAATAAAATGTTCTTTAGTTATTAAATAATAAAAATATCTTTTTTATTTAAACCTTAAAATATTTGAAATTAAAANTACCTAGTGCTCAAGGTGGCTGGTTTCCATGTCGTCTCCTGGAGTTTTGTGGAAATTCGTTATAATCTTAGCCGTAACTCGTTACCTCGGGGTTTCTGACGTCGCTGAACACGAATATCACGACGCCAACGGTCTCCGAGGTACCTAGTGCTCAAGGTGGCTGGTTTCCATGTCGTCTCCTGGAGTTTTGTGGAAATTCGTTATAATCTTAGCCGTAACTCGTTACCTCGGGGTTTCTGACGTCGCTGAACACGAATATCACGACGCCAACGGTCTCCGAGGTACCTAGTGCTCAAGGTGGCTGGTTTCCATGTCGTCTCCTGGAGTTTTGTGGAAATTCGTTATAATCTTAGCCGTAACTCGTTACCTCGGGGTTTCTGACGTCGCTGAACACGAATATCACGACGCCAACGGTCTCCGAGGTACCTAGTGCTCAAGGTGGCTGGTTTCCATGTCGTCTCCTGGAGTTTTGTGGAAATTCGTTATAATCTTAGCCGTAACTCGTTACCTCGGGGTTTCTGACGTCGCTGAACACGAATATCACGACGCCAACGGTCTCCGAGGTACCTAGTGCTCAAGGTGGCTGGTTTCCATGTCGTCTCCTGGAGTTTTGTGGAAATTCGTTATAATCTTAGCCGTAACTCGTTACCTCGGGGTTTCTGACGTCGCTGAACACGAATATCACGACGCCAACGGTCTCCGAGGTACCTAGTGCTCAAGGTGGCTGGTTTCCATGTCGTCTCCTGGAGTTTTGTGGAAATTCGTTATAATCTTAGCCGTAACTCGTTACCTCGGGGTTTTGAGGTCGCTGAACACGAATATCACGACGGCAACGGTCTCCGAAGTACCTAGTGCCCAAGGTAGCCGGTTTCCACGTTGTCTCCTGGAGTTTTGTGGAAATTCGTTATAAACTTAGCCGAATCTCGTTACCTCGGAGTTTTTGAGGTCGCTCAACACGAATATCATGACGGTAACGATCCTCGAGGTACCTAGTGCCCAGGATGACTGGTTTCTGTGACAACTATTTTATTCTTAATTATTTTTTATTCATTACAAAAAATACATGTTTCCAAAAAAATATTATACTTAGATATCTTTACAATTTAAATTTTTCTTATTTCACGTGTGCGCTATAACTTTTTTTTTATGCACCGATGCAATTTTCATTTCTCATTGATCACATAGGGTCACAAACTTTCTGGACGCTCTAACGAATCGAATGCAAAAAACTGCATCAC